AACCTTCTTGGTCAGCGAGAATGGCCGATAACCTCCAAAGACCCAATTTTGCCACTTTTCAAGCTTTGATCACCATTCCACCTCCTGGATTCATCTTTTCAGCTCCAGATATACCTGATAAACACTCAAAACATGCAAAGACTCATTGGGACCTAATGCATCTCCTAAGTTCTAAAACAAACTCTAAGGACCTAAAATGCATGGAATAAAACATGATTTAAAATGAATTATGCAACCTAAATGATGCAAATTATGAACATATCAGGGCCACTCTATTCTCCAAAATCGATCTCAAGAGTGGGTATCATCAAGTGCGATAGGAGATGAGTGGAAAACTGCCTTCAAGACAAGGCAAGGTCTTTATGAATGGATGGTGATGCCATTCCGACTCACCAATGCACCATGTACCTTTATGCGACTAATGAACCAAGTTCTTAGAGCATAAATCTTTAAGTTTGTTGTGGTTTCCTTTGATGATATTTTAGTATACAGCAAATGTCTATCTGATCATATGTCACATCTTGAGCTTGTATTAAAGACTCTTACACAAGAGGGCCTTTATGCAACTTTAAGAATTGCACATTCTGCACTATCTCATGTCAAGGGAGTTTGTAGTGCACACAGACCATGAGACCCTCAAGCATCTTAGGGGACAGACTCACCTCAAGAGGAGATATGCGAGGTGGATGGAGTTCATTGAGACTTTCCCCTACATCATCAAATACGAGAAAGGAAAAGACAACATTGTAGCCAATGACTTATCAAAAAGACATGCACTTATTGCCACGATGGAAGCCAAAGTTATGGGGTTTGAATTCATAAAAGACCTCTACAAAGAAGATCCCGAGTTTGGAGACAGCTTCAAAGAGTGTAATAATGGAGCACATGGCAAATTTTATCTCTTCGAAGGCTTTATGTTCAGAGATAAAAGGCTTTTCATACCACAATGCTCACTTAGAGACCTTATCGTCCAAGAAGCTCATGGAAGATGTCTAATGGGTCACTTTGGGATAGATAAGACACTAGCTGTAGTGAAAGAACACTTCTACTGGCCATACCTCAAGAAAACCGTAGAAGCTCATTGTGCAAGATGTGTGGTGTGAAAGAAAGCTAAGTCAAGAGTTCATCTCCACGGCTTATACATACCCCTACCTATTCCTAGAGCACCCTGGGTCGATGTATCAATGGATTTTGTGCTTGGGCTTCCAAAGATCAAACACAAAAACTCTATTTTTGTAGTGGTGGACAGATTTTTCAAGATGGCACACTTTATACCTTGTGCCAAGGTGAACGATGCAACCAAAACGGCTGACCTGTTCTTTAAACAGGTGGTACGTCTACATGGAGTGCCAAGGACCATAGTATCAGACCGAGACAGCAAGTTTCTAAGCCATTTTTGGAGGACCTTGTGGAAGAAGCTAGGGAGAAAGTTCTTATTTTCAACAACATTCCACCCTCAAACTGATGAGCAAACCGAGGTGGTAAATAGAACTATATCTGTCCTGCTTCGAGTTACCAGTGGAAAGAATCTGAACAATTGGCTGGAGTGTATTTCTTTTATCGAGTTTGCTTACAATAGTGCTTAGCACTCGGCAACAAAGATCTCCCCATTTAAAGTCGTGTATGGTTTCAACCCTACTACACAACTGGAGCTCACACCATTGCCCCCAGCTGAAGCCGTGAGTCTAGAAGGCCAAGAAGCTCCACTTAAAGGCCAAAGAGATTTTGGAGAAAAGAACCGAGCAATATGAAAGGCATGCCAACAAGGGTCGCAAAGAGATGGTATTTGAACCAGGAGAATGGGTTTGGCTACACATGCGGCATGAAAGATTCCCAAATCAAAGTAGTTCTAAGCTTGCACCAAGAGGAGATGGCCCCTTCAAGATCCTAGAGAAGATCAACAACAATGCCTACAAGCTTGAGCTACCAGGTGAGTTCAATGTGTCATTGATAACACCGTATTTTGACCACTTTTATGGATCAATTTGAAATATTTTTTCTATGTTTTTAATAGCTCTTAAGTACTTTTATCACGTGTTTCTAGTATTTGTAGTTCTAAGACTCTTTTCAGGAAACTTAGGGAAACGCTTAACAAAAAGACTAGAAGACCAGATTTCAGCTCAGTGTCAAACCGTCAGAAGTTCACCCCCGATGGAAGTATCAGCTTTCCAGCACACTTTACAGCTTGGCAATCCAACGATTCAATCAAAAGATACGCTAAGAGCAAGATGTCCCGTAAACCAGCCGGCAAGCGTTTCCACCCGCGGCCAACATGCCATTTCCCTCGTCCACAACCATCCTGACAGCGGCCAGCCATCCATTCCCCGATGTCACGTACATCCTGACCGCGACCAGCTAACTCCGAGTTTGAAGGCTTATTTCTGAAGCCCGTATCATTTTCCCAGCCTCAATTGCAGACACCAGAGAGTATTGGAGACTATAAATACATATCATTTAGGTCATTTTTAGAGAGAAAAGAAGAGAGAAGAAATACTTTACAGAAAATTTTCTTTAAGCTTTTGATGCGTGTCAACTGCGTGAGGGAACAAGTTTTACCCTTAACAAAAACAAATGAAAACCACAAGTGCACAGCTAATCAGTTGTAGTATTTTGGGATCGAATCCACATAGTTTTGTGTGCCTGGTATTCTTCTACGGTTTCAAACTTTATGTCTAGACTATATTGGCTTTAGAGGTTGGTTGTTTGTCACGGATCAAACTAAAACAAAAGAAAGCAAATAAATCTATCCTAGAAAACAAGTAGAAAAATCGAATGGAAAGCAAATAAAGCAAGCAAAATATCGAACTAAAGCAATTGAAATGCAGATCTAAATAAGCAAATAAAAATCAATTGGTTTGTAAACTATGGCTAAAAACGCTGAGCTTTCAGGAACTCTACAGGGATCATAATCGGTTATAACACTAGGGATGATAGATTGGGATTGACGGATATCGAAATATAGGGTTCTAGAGCTAGAGTACGGCAGTATGACTACGTAACTGTCGTGATCATAACCAACTGTTTCTTGCAACCCTGACCAGTAGGTTTCCACTCTGGCCCTGGGAGGGAGAGAACGCAAGAGCTGCACAAGACTCGTCAATACTCACGATCTCGCCGCAGGTAGGTTTCCACTCCTACGGAAAAATCGCCTGTTTCATTCTAGGTCTGATAGTTAATGAAAACTTTCGCAACACTAACTATCTAGATCAGATATGATATGTTAATAATTTGCATCATTGAGGTTGTATATTTCATTTCAAATCATATCTTATTTCATGCATTTTAGGTCTTTAGGGTTTGTTTTAGGACTTAGGAGTTGCATTAGGTCCCAATGAGTCTTTGAATGTTTGGAGTGTTTTATCAGGTGTATTTGGAGCTATTTGGAGTTGAAATGGTGAATCCAAGAAGAGAAATGGCAATCAGGACTTGAAAGATAGTGAAAAAGGGTTTTTGGAGGTTCTCGGCAATTCTCACCTACCGCAGGCACTTTTTCTCGGCGTTTTCCATGTACCGCCACTACAAGAAAAAGTGAATATTGTTACGAAAAGTTGCGACTAAATTTTTCCGTAACAACTTTGTTACAATTTTCATACGAAACCGTGACAAAATTATTTAGTCATAAAAGCATTACCATTTCGTCATAATATTGTGACCAAATTGAAAGTAACAAACTTTTATCAATAATCGTGACATAATTGTTACAAAATATATAGTTACAAATGTTGTTACAGATTTGCGACCAAATCTAGTAACTAAATTATACGATTTTTGTGACTAAACTTAAGTCACTCAAAGTTACACATGTTTTGTAAATACATCGTTACAATTAGTTACTATTATAGTAACTTTTGAGTTTGGTTGTAGATTATGACATAATTATTACTACTTTATGATAAGAATAAAATCAAAAGTTTATTTAAAAATAGATAAAAAATAGTTTTAATTCAGATAAATATCCAAAAACCCAATTGAATGGATTTTTTATTCTATTATATTTTTATTTTTCTTAAAATCTTGTATCTGACAAGTTGTTGCTGAAGAAATTAAACAATGTGTATATGCTGATTTTGAGAAGTTGAATGTGCTGTTGTATGTTGAACATCTTGGATCATTAGCATTACTAATCTAATATACTGATAAAGTATTAGATAAGAGTTTATGAACAGAAAAGTAACAAATGTCAAATAACCAACGAGTGAGTCAAAAAAATTTGAGTGCTATTAAAAATAGAAATATATTAATTTTTATTGACTAATTTGTGTGATTTAGGGTATAAATTAATTTTTATTTTTATCTGAATTAAAATAAGAAAATATAAAAATATTGTTTTATACTAAGAATACATAATAGAATAAAAAAAACAATTACAAAATACAAAATAAAAATAAAAAGTTAATGAATGTAGAATTTGGGGTAGAGGGTACAAAAGTATAGGATTTAAAATATATCTTTTTATATTTTTATTGCAATAAAATTTAATAACTCTTTTGGATTAAAGAGTGTTTGATTTAGAGTTTAGAGATTCACACTTGTAAGATATCTTTGTTATTTCTTAGGTTATAAAAAAATTATACAACATATTATTGTTTTATAATAAGAGTATAAAATAGAATACAAAAACTGTTACAATATACAAGAAGATATTTACTATCAAATTTGATTTAAAATTTTGATTTTTATATTACGTAATTGTTTTCTGAGAATTATATATAACTATTCTCCGAATAGATATAAACTATTATTTAAGATTAACTCATTTTATGAAATACATAATTTAATTAAAAAAAAATTAACATGGGCAAAAAAAATTTCTTACCATAATAGTTACCATACTATAAAAGTCTTGTTTTCTTACGAAGATCAGCCTCTAGTTTATTAATATATTAAAGCTTGGATCCTGTTTTTTTTTTCAACTTAAAATTTGTGGGCTCTAAAAGGGCCCTGATTTGTGCAAAGTCTTTTTTGGTTTCTAAACCTAAATTGAAGACTAACACGCGGACGATTTTTCTTCTTTCATCCTCGATTCCTCTTCTCAAAATCTGAGATACAGAGATTGCATCAATAGTGGCTCTCTGCTCCAACCGATTCTCTCTGAGAATAAAAAAAACCCTTTTTCTCTTCCACACCCATCCACGATTTTCTCATATGGGTTTCGTTTAATCGCCAATGGAACAGAAGTAAGTAAGCCATATTGCTTCGATTTCGTTTTGCTTGTTTCTAGGTAATTTTTCTTGTATTCGATTTGGATTCTTAAATCTTGATTCTGGGATTAGAATTTTAAGGAGTGGATGGGTCGATTTGTGTGTGCGTTACTTTTTTTCTTCTGTGGAAGCTGATTATACTTTTATTATTTGCTCACTTTTTTCTTCTGTGGAAGCTGATTATACTTTTTTATTCTTGTGTTTTGGAGTTCACTGGCTTTGAAGACGATACTTTTATTATTTGCTCACTAATTGCTTTTCCACAGATGGTTGGAAAGATTTCACTTAGATCCTTCTGAGGAGTGTCGTAAGAGCCCAGCCAAATACGGTCTCTGAAACACATTTCCCCCATTTCCTCTTCCTCACGCCTTTGTACTTTGACTGCATCAACAACGAAGACCATGGTCTTCTCACTCGTCAGTTAGCTTTGGTCTGATTTTGAATTGGATAGTAGAAAAGAGTGCGTATTTGACTTTTTAAACACAGATAGCTTTGGATCCTAGAATCATAGAAGAAGATTGCAGTCAAGCGTTTCACAAGAATGGGTGGCCTGATTCACGACAGTTCCTGGTACTTCTTTTGAATTTCTCATTGTTTCATCATCTTGTATATATATTCTTAAATTTGGGAATGTATTCTTCCTCGTGCAGGAGGACGCTAAGTCGGTTGGCCAGCTGCGGGGTGAGAGAATGGCCTAGTTCCAGTTACCTTTCGATTTTGCATAGTATCAACGTAGATGATTCTTGGTGAAAACAGAAAAGCAAATTGATTTGATTACATGTGAACCGTTGACAGGTTCAGAAGTTTGTGTCAAACGACCCTAAGGACAAAGAGGACGATTCTGAGGCAACCTATCCTTTATTCACAAGTTTATATACAAAAGCTGTATAAACTTATTTTTTAATAATGTATGTTTACTTTGTAATACTGATCTTTTGTATCATGGTTTTATTTATGAAAACATAGTTTTTTAATATGTCAATTTATCATTAGTTAATTAGGAACAAAAAATAGTTGCAAATTAAGATCGATAGCCAATGTTCTTTATGTCATCATTTGTGACGATTTGCAAATAAAGTTTCGTAGAAATAAGTGACGTAATTGGGACATTATAATAGTCACATAATATGACAGTTTTTAAACTGTTTTTTAGTACGTAAGTATAACGAATAGGTAACGATTTCCTAATCATTATTTGAGACGATTTAGAACTAAAATTTTGTCAAAACGACTGATAGATTTAAGACATTATATATATGTGGCAAAATGTGATAATTTTGAGACGGTTTTTATAGTTTTTAAATGATACCGTTTACTTACTGTAAATTTTCATTACAATTAATGATGATATAGATATTGGAGATTTTCGTCATAAAGTGATGGTTTTGCTACGAAAATAAGTTTGTGACGATTTTATTGTGACAGTTAAAAAAACATCACAACAATTTTATTGCTACGAAATTGTGATAATTGTAACAAAATTTTTTGTAACAATATACATTTTTTTTTGTAGTGCGCGAGTGAGCCTATTGGCCAAAACGCGTACCGCAGCTAAGGTTTCTCGGCCAAAATTTTTGCGTACAGACACATCTCAGAAATTGCGCCACCTGAAGGTCTTTCCGGTCGATTCAGTTGTCAGGTGCTTCATCAAAGTTGGAAAGGATTGGATCATGGTTCCAGAGCAGGTGGAATCATCGGATTTGGAGGCGTGAGCAGAGAGTTAAGCTCGTCGGAAGGCACGCCTGTCTCGCTACCGTTTTGGACCGACCCGATGATCTCCGAAGAATGCGAAGGACGATGCACTTCCAAACCGATTCAGTCTACAAGGCCTTCATCAAGATTTGAGATATTTGAATCCTCTTTCCAGAACGTTTGAGATCTTTCAATTTGGAGCTATGAGAAAGAAGATACAATTTCTAGAATGGACGCATATCTAGAAGATGAGCCCTCCAGGGAACCTTCCACCTCCCTTGCTGGATCTCTATCTGTTGAAACTTAGCCAGATTATGAGGTGTTTCTGGTTCAGTTTTCTTAATCCTCATTGATTCCTCTTCAATGGTGCCTTGGGAACCACCAGCTGAGCTGCTTGAGTCACTTTCGGTGTGTTCACTCTCAGATACCACAGCCAACTGTTTCCCTTTCTTCTTGGAACCAGAAGCAACCACCAAAGCTTTCTCTTCATGCTTTTCCTTTTCGGCGCTGGATCACATTTTCCTTGCTTTGTGGTTTTCTTTGCCCCTTGACCTTTTTCTCTTGGCTGTGAAGACCCTGAGACCAAACCCTTGCCTTTTGATGCAGTACCCTTCTTCTTGGCCAGAGAGTTGGTTCTTTCAGTCATCTGCCAAGAGATTCTCAAAAACAATGTTAGCACAAGATCAAGTTTCATAAAGTTCCTCAAAATTGTGAAAACAAATAGTTGCAGCAATCGATTTGAAAATCATATGAACAAGTTTCTCAAGCCAAGCATCAATCCAATAAGTTCAAAGCAAGAAACAAGCTCATTTCTTTTTTCAAGAAAAATCGATTTTTTTCATTAACTTGCAACAATTTTCAAAACTCAAGAACAAGGAATTACCAACAAAGTGCTCTGTTTTCCAAGACTATCTAGCACCCTAGCATTTATAAAAATAATCCCAAGGTCTAAAACAACCTATCAAAATCGATTCCACACCTTAAAGTTCAAAAATCACCATTGAAGAACATGGAAAAGATGAATTTTAACAGAGTGAAATACCTTGGGATTATGATGCAACGAGTTCGAAATGAAATCAGGATGATGTTAACAACTCAAAAACGAGCTCAGAGCATTTTGAATCAACGAATTTGGTGGAGAAATGAGAGAGTTATGATGAAAACAATGGAGAGAAATGAGAGAAGAGGTGCAAAGCCTTTGGACTGGTGGTCAATAGATCTATGTTGACCAGTCAAGGCTTTTACCCGTCCTTTTCTCGTTGACCGGCCTTCTTTTTCTCCTTGTGCAACCTGGAAACGTCGGGACCGAGCCGCACGAGCAACTCGGTGTAGAACAGGTTTTGGTTTTGTGCGACTTGGTCCACCTCTTTCTGTCCCGCATTCCCAAGTCGCAGTAAAAATACTTCTGCACGGTTTGGTCTTCTCTCCCATGCTGCGACCTGGCACCACGTCCCGATGACCCGCATGACCGAGCCGCTGTAAATTACGAGTTAACGTGCGACCTGGGATCTTCTGTCCACCCCGCATGACTAAGCCGCATGTTTTCACACTTAGACTATTTTCTGGTTCCTTCACAATGTGCGGCCTGGGACCTCTAGTAACCAGCTAGCATGACCAAATAGGTGTAAATTGCGATCGTTTGTGCGACTTGGTCTTGTCAGTTTCCAGGTCGCATGATTTGGGACTTGGTCGCACAAGCACCAGCCAGCAAGACCAACATGGTGTGAAATGCGGATCACCGTGCGGCCTGGCTTCCTCTTGTCTGACCCGCAGCACCAACTCGCACGATTTGTTCCGAAGTACCTCGGCCTTTCTTCTCTTGGTGCGGCTTGGTTTCATTGCTTCCAGGTCGCAGGACCAACCCGTTGTGAAATGCGAACCATTGTGCGGCCTAGCTTCCTCTTGTTTCAGGCCGCAGCTCCATCCCGCAGAGTTTGGGACTTAGACACCTTGGCCTTTCTTTTCATTTTGTGCGGCCTGGTCCACTTGGTTCTTCTCGCACGCCCACAGCAAGTCTTGCTGCGGCCTGGGCTCTTGGACACCAGCTAGCCCAACCAACTCGCAGGCCTTTTCACTTAGTCACCTCGGCCCTTCTTCTCTTTTGTGCGGCCTGGTCTTTTGTGAATCAACCCGCAGACCCAACTCGGACTGAATTGCGAGTGCTGGTGCACCTTGGTCCATGGCTTGACTGAGCCGCACTCCTACCTTGCATAGTTTGGGACTTAGACTCCTCAGGGTCCCCTCTTTTATGTGCGGCCTGGTCCTCTTGCACCAGGTAGCATGACCAAACCGCTGTAGATTGCGAGTCCTGCTGCGAGTTGGTCTTTTCTTTATTCAAGCCGCACACCCAGGTAGCACTTCAGGCGTCCTCCAAGTTTTTCAGACCTTAAACACTTCTCTCAGCCCTCTCACATGCTCCATCCAATTTATCATTGAGCCATGGCCTCCAAAAATCACCTAGAACCTGAGACCAACTCACAAAACCTATCAAAAAGTTCTAAAACATAAAAGAAAAGAAGCAAAGAAAAGATGAAAAACATATTTACAAATGATAAGCTTGGGGTGTCTCCCATGAGCACTTTTTTTAAAGTCTCTAAGTTTGACTTTGGAAACCTATTTAACAGGCTGGTGGTGGATCAAGAAGGGAAATTGATGTAGCTTCCTCCTTCCCTTGAGAAACTAGGTAGTGCTTGATCCTTTGACCATTTACCACAAACTCTTGACCATTCTTGCCTTCTAACACAACAGCTCCATATGGCCTCACCTCAAGAACTTTAAAGGGACCAGACCATCTAGACTTAAGTTTCCCAAGAAACAACTTAAGCCTAGAGTTGAACAGCAACACTAGATCACCTTCCTTGAACTCCCTTTTCAGAATCTTTTGGTCATGCAGAGCCCTGGTCTTTTCTTTATAAATCTTGGAGCTCTCAAAAGCCCCCAGCCTTATCTCTTCAAGTTCATGGAGTTGAATGACCCTATTCTCTTGAGCTGTCTTGATATCAAAGTTCAGCAACTTCACAGCCCACAAAGCCTTGTACTCCAACTCAACAGGAAGGTGGCAGCTCTTCCCATATAGCCTTTTGCTCCAATCTTTTCTACTTGAGCTAACAGTCCTCTCAAGAATGACCTTAATCTGTCTATTAGATACTTCAACCTGGCCACTAGTTTGAGGATGATAAGGAGTAGCTACCTTGTGTTTCACTCCATGTGATATATCATGGTTTTTATGGTTTTTAACTACGGTATAAGTCTTATTTATAGAGTCTTTTAGTGTCTTTCGAGTCTTTTGGAGTCTTTTCAGGTCATAGGTACGTTTGGAGCTTAACTAGAGACTTTGGAGCACTTTGGAGCTTAATCAGGATCAAATTCGTCAAGTATGGATTTTGTGCTTTAGTGTCACTCGACACCATGGAGAGTGACGCTCGACACTTGTCAGAGAAATAAGGAAAACGCGATTTTGTTGCCTATTTGAAGAAGGAGTTGGGCCTAAACGTTTCCAAGGAAGCCCAAAACGTGTTTTAGAGATATATATATAGGATTTTTATTCCCTTTTTATCAATACCTTAGATTTTTGAGAAAGAGATATTCTGAGTTTTTCGGCTTTTGCGATTTTGAGAGCTAGGGGAGACAAGTCTAAACTCTTTTCGTTTAGAGAGAAGATTTCGAACCCCTTTATCTATTTCGATTTAATCTATTGCTTTCTATTCATCATGTTTGTTGTTTCGCTAACCATGTCTGAGTAGATCACCTGTTAGGTTTAGGGTTAATTAGGGTTTTCTTTGGATGATTGATTAAATTGCTAGTTAGGGTTCATATCTATTAGTTCTTCATCTTAGGTTGTTCTTAATGCTAATTCTGGACTGATCACCTAGAACTTAGATTTTAGGTTGCTTAATTGACACGGAAGTGTAATTGAATAACTGGAAAGGACCTAGGTTGAGCAAAGTAGCTATTCGCAAAGGAATTTGGTTTAGACACCTTGTGAACATATCGAACTTGTGCATTAAGGCTGGTTTAAATCTGTAGGATTTGCAAAGGAATTTGGAATTCTAGGATTTTAACTTAGATAATTCTCACAAAAGAAGTTGGTTAATTATAATTCTGTGTTTCGAGTTCAAGAACCGTGCTTAATAACTGAACCATGATTAGTTAAGTTGATATGCATTCATTGGTCTCCTGAAAAACGCCCTAGACCTAATCCTTATCCAATCAAACTTACAAACCGTTTTTACTGTTGCTTAATTCATCTTAGTCGCATTGCCATTTACTTCGCACATTTCTGCTTAGCGTAACTCTATCTCTACAAGGTTTATTGAGTGATCTCTTGTCTCTGTGGTTCGACCCCTAGATACTACAACTGCACATCTATGCTCTTGCAGAGTAGCTTAGGGATTAAACTTTGAGCAGATCAAGTTTTGGCGCCGTTGCCGGGGACTTGATTTCGCCATTAAACCTAGTTTTTGAGTTTCGACTAAGTTTTTCTTCTTAGTGTCGAGCGACACCACTTGTGGTGTCCCGCGACGCCCTTCTTTTTATAACCTAATTTGCTTATTTTGTTTTCTCTCTTTGTTTTTGGTGCTTCAGGTTTATGCATACTCGTGGAACCAGAAGCAACAAGGACATCCCGCTAGTGAATTTGAGGAACGAGGAGCTGGCTGAGTTAGAGCGAACGAACAGGAAAGCAAAGGATCCGGCAACGACGGAAAACGCCAACGGACTTGTTCGTGATGATGCTGGAATCTGGAGAGACCAAGAGGGTCATGGGTGCAATGCGAGAGGCAAAAGGCTTAATGGAGATGGTAACATCATTCCACCAGCACCTTTACCAGTGGATATTGTTGACCAGAATCCACCACCTGCACCGCGTGGTAATGCTGTGATCGTTCGAAATCAGAGGAACGTTCCAGAAGATCGGAATGTGAGGGAACCTGCACCTGCAGCTGGTCGTGGACGAACAAGATTACAACAGGCCTGAGCAGTTCTATGCAAATCGTTCTGCGATTCGCGCCCCTGCGTTTCAAAGAAACGATTTTGAGCTGAAACCTGTGTACTACACTCTTGTGGGTCAGCATCCCTTTCATGGCCACTCTCATGAGCACCCTATGGATCACATCGAGAGGTTTGAGGACTTGGTCACCAGCATCAAGTACAATGAAGTGTCCAATGATTTCCTCCTCTACAAGCTGTTTCCTTACTCTCTTGCTGAAGAAGCAGCTAACTGGTTGAAGCAGTTGGAGCCAGGATCACTCACTACTTGGGAAGAGACCAGGAATGCTTTCCTGCACAACTTCTTCGATGATGCTAGGTCTGAGGAGTTGAGGACGAAAATTTCAACATTTTCTCAAGAACCAACTGAAGCATTCAAAGCTTCTTGGGTACGATTTAAGTCGTACCAGCGAGACTGCCCCCATCATGGATTCAGTGATGTGCAGCTGTTGGGTATCTTCTTCAGAGGTATCGACTGGAGGTATCAGATGGCGCTTGATGCAGCAAGCAATGGTAACTTCAACACCAGATACCCAGAAGAAGCTGTTGAGCTCATCGAAAACTTGGCATCCAGCAATAGCACCAAGAATGCTGATCTTCAGCGAAAAAAGCAAGCTGGGAACATGGATAGATCGCAGATCGCTGAGGTGAAAGCAAAACTTTACTCTGTGGACAGCCTCTTAGTGGGTAAGAAGTCTGTCAGATTCGCACAGGAAATGGATAGTTTTGAACCTGAGGATGAAGCTGAGGTGGAAGATGTCAACTTTGTTAGTGGATCAGGGTTTCACAGTCAGAGGTTTGGTAATCAGCAAGGTAACAGAAGGTACAGTGGGAACTACAATGGAAACAATCAGAGGAGTACCTTCAACAGTAATCAGAACTTCTCTGGTTACACACCTAAGCCTCAGTACCAGAAGCCTTTTTCCAACAAAAGTTTTTCCAGAAACTACAGCACTCCTTCAACTCAACCTCAAACTCCTGACAATGAGATGAAGTCTATGCTGGAACAAATTCTGGAAGGTCAGCAGAAGCTCACCGTGGACTTCAATGGAAAGATGGATGCTCTCTACCTTGATCTGAATGGGAAAATCGAAGAATTGAACACTCATGTCAAGCAGCTCGATACGCAGGTTGTCCAAACTGCATGTACTGTCAAAAGGCAAGAAGGTTTTCTTCCTGGAAAGACTGACACCAATCAGAGGCATCACTGCAGTGCTATCACGTTGAGGAGTGGTAAAAATCTGAGTTCTGAGCCCAAGAAGACGTCTCCTGCACCTGAGGTCGTGGATTTGGAAGACCCTGAAGAAGTTCATGAGATTGCAGGGCCGGTGTCGAGCGACACCACAACCAGTGTCGCGCGTCACCAACCACAGAGCCAAGCTGTTGATGCTCCGAATTCAAAATCTGCTGAGGAGAAAGTCTACAAACCTAAAGTTCCTTACCCAAGAAGCCCTAGGAAGTCCAAACAAGAGATTTATGATGCACGATGCAAAGCTTTGATGGAAAAGCTTGTGATTGAAATACCTTTGGTTGATGCTGTAAAAATCACTCCTGTTATCAGGCGTTATGTGAATCGAATGGTGACCAATAATCTCAGCCATGAACAAGGAGTGATGATGATTTCTGAGCAAGTCAGTGCAGTGATTCAGAACTGAATTCCAGACAACCTGTCTGATTCAGGAAGCTTTGTCTTGGATTGCTCTATATTCATAGAGAGATTCAAGAGATCGCTGTGTGATATGGGTTCAAGTGTTAACCTTATGCCTTATTCGGTAGCTGTTAATCTCGGCATGACTGAATTCAAGTCAACAAGGATATCTCTCTTCCTAGCTGATCGTTCGACAAGGACACCTGAAGGAGTGTTATATGTTCCAATAAAATCGGAAACTGCATGATACCGACTGACTTTGTGGTTCTGGAGTATGGAGAGGAGCCTAAGAATCCTCTTATCCTTGGGAAACCTTTTTCTAGCTACAACAGGTGCTATCATTGATGTCAGGAAGGGCAGGATCGCTCTGAATGTTGGAGATCTGGTGATGAACTTTGACATGGACAAGCTGATGAAGAAGCCCACCATCGATGGTCAGACCTTCTATTTCGACACTCTCACAGAGTTTGCTGAGGAGATTTTCCATGAGATGCTACCTACAGATCCACTAGAGAGAGCTTTGATCACGTCTGAAACCGAAGCTGAACACTTGGACGAAATTTCAGCATCTTACTTGAAGATGTTGGATTACAGCGAGCATGTGATGCAGCTAGCATCGCAGATAGAACAACTTGAGACCCATGCGAAGGTGAAACAGCTATCCGACTGGAGTGAGGAGAAAGCACCCAAGATTTAGTTCAAATAACTCCCTGCAGGACTAAGGTACACATTTCTAGTCTCTAATTCTACTTATCCAGTCATTATCAACTCTTCTTTGAACAATGCTCAGGTTACCTTACTACTGACAAGCTGCGCAAGCATCGCAAAACTTTTGGCTACTCTCTTGATGATATTTCAGGTATCTCACCAGATCTGTGCATGCATCGAATTCACCTGGAGGATGAGTCGAAGTCATCAATCGAACACCAGCGCAGGTTGAACCCTAATCTGAAGGACGTCGTCAAAAAGGAGATCATGAATCTGTTGGAAGCTGGGATCATCTATCCAATTTCAGATAGTGCTTGGGTCAGTCCTGTGCACGTGGTTCCTAAGAAAGGAGGGGTTACAGTCGTGAAGAATGACAAAGATGAGCTGATTCCAATGCGCACAGTGACCGGACACTGGATGTGCATCGATTACAGGAAGCTGAATGCAGCGACCAGGAAAGATCACTTTCCATTGCCCTTTATCGATCAGATGCTGGAGAGACTTGCAAGCCATCCCTACTACTGCTTCCTCGATGGGTACTCAGGATTTTTCCAGATTCCTATCCACCCAGATGATCAGGAGAAGACAACATTTACGTGTCCATACGGCACTTTCGTATATCGCAGAATGCCCTTTGGACTCTGTAATGCTCCTACAATGTTTCAGAGATATATGATGTCCATCTTCACTGATGTGATTGAGGATTTCATGGAGGTCTTTATGGATGATTTCTCAGTTTACGGATCATCTTTCAAGGACTGTCTGGATAATCTCTGCAAAGTTCTGGCTCGCTGTGAAGAGAAACACTTGGTCCTTAACTGGGAAAAGTGTCACTTTATGGGTCAGAGATGGGATTGTGCTTGGACACAAAGTTTCTGCAGCTGGTATCGAAGTGGATCGCGCGAAGATTGACGTCATGACGAGTTTGCCACCACCTGATTCTGCGAAATCGGTTAGAAGCTTTCTGGGTCATGCAGGGTTCTATCGTCGCTTTATCAAAGACTTTAGCAAGATTGCACGTCCTCTTACTGCTCTGCTATGCAAGGATGCTAGGTTTGAGTTTACAGACGAATGCCTTGCCGCGTTCGAATATATCAAACATATTTTGATAAGCGCCCCTATCGTGCAGCCTCCTGACTGGAATTTACCTTTTGAGGTGATGTGTGATGCCAGTGATTTTGTTGTTGGTTCTGTTCTAGGACAGAAGAAGGACAAAAAGCTTCATGCAGTCTACTATGCCAGTCGAACTCTGGATGATGCTCAAAGGAACTATGCTACTACTGAGAAGGAGCTGTTGGCTGTGGTCTTTGCTTTTGAGAAATTTCGACCCTACCTTGTGGGATCGAAGGTTATTGTGCACACAGATCATTCTGCACTCAAATACTTGATGCAGAAGAAGGATGCAAAGCCAAGATTACTGCGATGGGTGTTACTCCTTCAAGAGTTCGATATTGAGGTCAAGGACAAGAAGGGTGTTGAGAATGGTGTTGCAGATCATCTCTCACGCATCAGGGTTGAAGATGGCGTACCCATAGACGCTGCCAGAAGAGAATGTATACTATGTAGAAACTGGGTTCCAGAGCAGATTTGACGAAGAACTGTAGGCATTTCAAATTGGAGAAACGTTAGTGTCGAGCGACACCACCACTAGTGTCGCGCGACACCTTGCTCAGCCGAACACAGAGACTTCTCAAGTTCGAAGAAGACTTCCTGAGATCAGTTCAACTGGTGTATCTGCCACCCAACGTCCTTGGTATGCCGATATTGCCAATTATTTTGCTGCAGAGGCTGAGCCTGAGAACTTTAAAGGGTACGCGAAGAAGAAGTTCCTGAGAGAGCTAAGGAGGTATCACTGGGATGAGCCATACTTGTACAAGCATTGTTCTGATGGAATTTACAGAAGATGCATTGCAGAGTCAGAAGTTCCGGAGGTGCTGTTTCATTGTCATGGAACTGAATATGCTGGACACTTTACGACCTTCAAGACAGTGTCTAAGGTTCTTCAAGCAGGCTTTTGGTGGCTTACAATGTTTCGCGACGCGCATGCCTTCATCTCGCAGTGTGATGTTTGTCAGAGGAGAGGAAAGATCAGCAAGCGACATGAGATGCCACAGAATTTCATCCTTGAGGTTGAGGTATTCGATTGCTGGGTGATCCATTTCATGGGTCCTTTTCCATCTTCTTATGGGAATAAGTACATCCTGGTTGCTGTTGATTATGTTTCAAAGTGGGTCGAAGCCATTGCAAGCCCCACCAACGATTCTTCAGTGGTTCTTAAGATGTTCAAGACCATCATCTTTCCTCGATTTGGAGTGCCTCGAATTGTTATAAGTGATGGTGGTTCTCACTTTATTAACAAGATTTTCGAAAAACTCTTAAGGAAGCATGGAGTTCATCACAGAGTTGCAACTCCTTATCACCCTCAGACGAGTGGACAGGTCGAAGTGTCGAATCGACAGATCAAGGGAGATCCTAGAGAAGACAGTGGGTAAAACTCGGAAGCACTGGACTGCGAAGTTGGACGATGCACTCTGGGCGTACAGGACCGCGTTCAAAATACCTCTAGGCACCACACCTTTCCACCTGCTCTATGGGAAGCCCTGTCACCTTCCAGTGGAGATCGAACACAAGGCAGCCTGGGCAATAAAGATGATCCATTTCGACATCAAGTCTACTGCAGAAAGGACACTGATACAGCTGAATGAGTTTGACGAAATCAGGCAGGCACCATGCCTATGAGAATTCGAAGCTGTACAAAGAGAGGACCAAGGCGTATCACGATTCCAAAATCCTCTCCAGGCAATTTGAACCGAATGATCAGGTACTTCTGTATAACTCTCGCCTACAATTGTTTCCTGGTAAACTTCGTTCTCGATGGTCAGTGATAACACCGGATTTTGACCATTTTTATGGATTACTTTAATATCTTTTAAAGGTGTTTTTACTCCATTTTTTCAAAGGTTTTCAAAGGATTTCTATGTTTCCGGATTCTAAAAGCCTTTTCAGGTAATTTGGGATAAAGAGGCACAAAATGGAACAAAAAGACTCTTTTGGATAAATGCAGACCGTCAGAACTCTAATGGAGAGACGAAGACCTTCTCACCGTCTGATCACCCTCAAAATTTGACAACTTATAGAAGAATCAACCAGCTTTCAAATGCACTTGGTTTGGAGACATTCCAACGGTTGGATCTCAAAATATTCCATTAGCCCCGGAGCCACTTGAAGTCGGCCAGCAAGTCACGCGACCGCGGTGATCAACCTATTTCCCGCGGTCAGAAGCTTCCCGACCGCGGCCAACCAGCCAATCCCCGCGGTCACGACACTCCCGACCGCGGCAATCAAGCTCCGAATTAAAGCCCATGTATCTGAAGCCCAAAGTCATTCTCAGCCTCAATTCTTGAACCCTAGAGACCATGGAGTATTGGAGACTATAAATACATGTCATCTAGGTCGTTTTTAGACACGACCATTCATACTTTGCAGAAACCCTTTTCCTTTAGCCGTTTTTATGAGATTTTTGTAGAAGATTGTTCAAGTCCGAGTTCTTCAATAGAGAAGCTTTCTTTTCTTTACATACATATCTCTTTTCTTTACTGTTTTTCATTACTTTTATTAAAACCGATGATGATGTCGTCCTCAGCCATGTCTGAGTAGATCCCAAGTTGGGCTTAGGGTGAATTAAAACCGATGCTTTTTCCGATGATTTTTCCGTAGGAGTGGAAACCTACCTGCGGCTAGATCATGAGTATTGATGAGTCTTGTGCAGCTCTTGCGTTCTCTCCCTTCCAGGGCCAGAGTGGAAACCTACTGGTCAGGGTTACGAGAAACAGTTGGTTATGATCACGACAGTGACGTAGTCATACCGTCGTACTCTAGCTCTAGAACCCATATATTGTTATCCGTCAATCCCAATCTATCTACCTTAGTGTTAAAACCGATTATGATCCCTTAGAGTTCCCAAAAGCTCAGCGATTTTAGCCATAGTTTACAATTCCATCGATTTTTATTTGCCTATTTAGACCTGCATTTCAATTTCCTTAGTTCGATATTTACTTGCTTTATTAGTATTGCATTCGATATTTTACTTGCCTTATTAGTCTTTCATTCGATATTCTACTTATTCTATTTGCCTTTCATTCGATTTCTTTACTTGCATTTTAGGATAGATTTATTTGCTTTCTTTTGTTTTAGTTTAATTCGTGACAAACAAACAACCTCTAAAACCAATTTAGTCTAGACATAAAGTTAAGAACTGTAGAAGAATACCAGGCACACAAATCTCTGTGATTCGATCCCTAAATACTACAACTGATTAGCTGTGCACTTGCGGCTTTCATTTGTTTTGTTAAGGGGTATAAATTGTTCCCTCACGCAGTTGACACGACATCAAGTTTTTGGCGCCGTTGCCGGGGATTTGTTTCGCTGCCTTTTGCTATTTTTCTTGTTTTAACTTCTGTTCTAGACACCTAATCTCTAGTTCTTTCTTAAAGTTTTTCTGAACTATCTTTCCCTTCTTTTGTTTTTCTCTGAATTGCATGAATACCAGGCGCAGACCTGCAGAAGACATTCCAATTCTAGACGAGATAGACAGACACGAAAGAGAACTTCAAAGACTTTGACGAATGCAAGGAATGGCCAACGACGACCAGCCTGGAGATCCTATTAATCGAACTCTAAATATGGACCAAGACGGGTCCGAACATGGAGAAAACGAAGAGAATGATCACATAGAAGGTGATCAAGCTCGACAAGATGGATAGGAGAATGAGGTCCCTCCAAGAAACCACCAGAACCGCGAGAGAGAATGACGTGAAGACCTTGATCCACCCATCAATGCAGCCGATGGTGACCATCCAGCAATGCAGCCGAATGAACGCATTCACAGCCCTATTCCGCCAGCAAATCAACACCGATGACAAGCCAGGAACCATCGAATAGCTACTTTGATGCACCTACTCAAAATTTTCAGAATCGATCTGCAATTCAAGTACAATTTCCAAACCGGAATGAGTTTGAAGTCAAGCCTCAAATCATATCATTAGTGAAGCAAAACCAGTTCCATGGAGTTTCTTCTGAACACCCAATGGACCATATCGAGCTTTTTGAAGAAATTTGCAGCATGATGAGAACAAACCAAGTTCCACCAGACTATTTAAAGTGTAAGTTTTTCCCTTTTTCATTAGCAGATAAAGCTCACCGTTGGTTGAAATCTTTGCCTGCAGGATCAATTACTAATTGGGAAGAATGTAGAACTGCTTTCCTGAACCACTTTTACACTAAGTCAAGGTGGAATCAGTTGAGAACAAAGATCTCAACTTTTCAACAAGGGATAACTGAATCTTTCTATGAAGCTTGGGAGCGTTTAAAGGAGTATGAACGTGTTTGCCCTCACCATGGATTTCATGGATCAAGCCTGCTGAGCACATTTTACCGAGGTTTGCAACCAAAATACAAACTTTCACTTGATACAGCTAGCAATGGAGATTTTGGACAAGAGACGATAACCCAAGGAAGAGCTCTCATCGAACATTTGGCTCAGGCCAATAGCAATGATTGTCCTGAATACGATAGATCGATGAAGCAAGCCGGAACAGACAACAAGGAGATAACTGAGTTGAAGAACATGGTGAGCCAGCTTCAGAAGAGTAACATTCGCCCAATCCATGCTTGTGAGACCAACAATGGCGCAGAAGATGAAGGACCTAGTGATATCGATCACATTAATCAAGCCTTTCATGAAGAAGATGTGAACTACGTAGGAGCATTGGTGCCATACCAAAATCGCTCCAACAATAGTTTCAACAACAACTTACGAAGTGATATTACTACAATCTCTCTTACCGCAATTCAAATATGGAGAATCCTCAAGATCAGTACTACCCACCTCAGCAAAAATCCTTCCAAAACAAGTTTCAAGGTTGAAACGTTGGAGGAATAGTACCATATCAACCGGGACAGCCATATAACTACCAAGGTACAGGTTTTAATAATCAATTTGTACAACAGCAGGGAGTCACGACGAACCAGCTAGCTTCACAAATCGGTAGACTTGAACAGTCCATCCAACAACTCGTTATGACGAACGAAAAAGCATCTAAATACGTGAACGTGAAAGTGCACTGCTTGTACAATGATCTGAATGGTAAGTTTGAATCTTTATCTTCGCACGTCAAAAAGTTAGATGTGCAAGTCGCCCAAACAGCCGACTCTATGAAGAGGCAAAGTGGAGTTCTTCCAGGAAAAGTTGAAGATAACCCTAAGAAGTTTTGCAACGCCATAACCACATTGCCCGAAGAAGAGGCCGGAACTGATGGAAAGAAAGAAGAAACCCTAATCTTTGTACCACTGTACAAGGATATCGATCCCAAGCAGCCACCGTTTAAGGTACTTGAACGATCACCGTTTCAAAGGCTTACCAAAGCCGATGATCCGGGACGTTTTGTTTTCCAATGTTTCATTTCAGGAATCAAGTTTACAGACTGCCTGTGCGATTCCGGAGCCAACGTCAACATCATGTCTATGACGTTTGCCAAAAAAATGGGCATTAAAACCTTAAAGACATCGACGGTTAAGGTTATTTTTGGAGATTCATCTCAAAAAGATACTGAAGGGGCGATTCATGATCTACAACTTCTAGTGGAAGACAAGATTGTTCCAGCAGATTTCCAAGTCCTGGAGATGGATAAAGACAAGGAGAGGCCACTCATTTTCGGGAGACCATTCCTAGCTACAGTAGGAGCAGTAATCGATCACGCAATTCGGCATGCTGTTTTCCTGTATGTGGATCGCAGAAGGTACTATCCTACTATCTTGGACGATTTTCCAAGCAAAGGAAACAGACCAAAAGAGAAAGAAAAGAAGAAGCCGAAAGCTTTTGCAAAGATTAAGATCATCATTCCACCAGATACAACTGAAACTAGTGAGGACCAGATCCAGGAGCTGATCGAAAACACAAAAAGGGTTTTAAACAATATTAAAGTCCGAAAGAAGAGTAAAGGAAAGAAGACGGCTCCTCCAGGAGAAGAAGTAAAACCTCCGGACACCAGAAGTGATAAGGGCAAATCAAGTGGAGTGCCATTCAAATCAGCCTGATTCCTCATGCTTACGTCGAGCTAAACGACTTAAAACAAAAGCGCTTAGTGGGAGGCAACCCATTTAGGTACTCTTTCTTTTAGTTTTCTTTTCCTTTTTACAATTTATGCTTTCTTTTTCTTTTTAAGTTTTAGGTATTTTATAAAACAAAAACACAAAAAAATCAGAAAATTAGAAAAACCAAGAAGAAAAAGGTAGGTTTTTAGCTGCTTGGCCCGGCAAAGCCAAGAAGGTTGGACAAAGGCCGCAGGAGGAAGAGCCGCAGTCGCGACTGACCGACCCGCGGCCAAGGAAGCATCGACCGCGGCACCGTGAATGTGACCGCGACCGAGCCCTCGATCACCGCGGTCGCGCGTCCACTGGCCGCGGCCGTTGGTCGTTGAGGTGACGCCGCGGATTTCTGCCGTTTTTTGGTGTTGCCTGGTGTTTACCTGGTGATTCCCGGTGTTGCCTGGTGATTCCTTGTGATTCCCGGTGTTGCCTGGTGATTTCCCGGTATTGCCTGGTGATTCCCGGTGTTGCGTGGTGTTTACCTGGTGATTCCCGGTGATTCCCGGTGTTTCCCGAAATGTTCCCGGTAAAACCCAAAAAGATCCTACGTAAGTTTTAAAATTTCCTAATGTGCAAACAAGAAAGGTAAGTTCCCGTAAACTTAAAAATTTCCAGATATTTTCCGTTTTTGCTGCAAAACCGCTTTTTAAAGAAAAGAAACAAACTTTTTGGATC